TGTGTGTGTGTGTGTGTGTGTGTGTGTGTGTGTGTGGTCTCATCAGCTTGTTTTGTTGCCATGATGCAAGCAGCTGCTGCCCTCTGCTGGCTTCACTGTGTATCATGTCTCTCTTAATAATAAGCAGTGGTTTCTAATATTTTGACCAACTGGTTTTTATAACCAGATTTAAATATTAAGTGTATTATTATACACTGAACATTATTAGTGTAACACATTACAAACCCACATCAGAGCCTCGGTTCATTGCAGGCTTTTTTTTGTTAGTTTAAACTTGGTGAATCTAGACTTTGAATGTACTCTACTGAGGTACATTGAAACTAAAGTGCTGGACCTACATATGCCATCAGTTGGATACTGTAGATTCTGCTAATCACAAGTGCTAATGAATGTAGCAACTCTGTTCTACTCAAAGTAAGAGCTGTTGATGTTGTCACAATAACTTCATCATCAACCCCAATCTGTGTTTTAAGAACTAAATAACCTTAATGAGAATTAACAGGATCTTGTTGTCTGATAACTAAGCTGGGCAAACATTTTATTAAATCAGTGTGTGAAGAACAGAACCCATGTTTTTGTAGAATGGAAATTATTCATCGCTCTTTTGTCATTGATGGACTGCAAAAACAATCTGTTGCCGATGATGGACACCAGTGGGGAGGATTAACATAGAACCCCCCAGAGTCATGAAAGATGCATCTTGTGCACACAATGAAAAAAAACCTGTCATCAACAAATTCACATTAAGTCTGACTGAAACATCATCAGTGCAAACCATTGCTTCATAACAACAGATTTGTTGATTTCTGCAGGGTCATACTGTCATCAGGTCAGCAGCCAATGCCAACCTGCCACCAATGCTAATGTCCCAGCGAGTGATAGCCCCCAACCCCTCCCAACTGCAAGGCCAGAGGATCCCCTCCAAGCCTGGGATGTCACGTTCCAGCTCTGGCAGCATGGCCAATGCTGTCAGCTACCAGCAGGTATGGATTCAAACCACGTCAGGCTCACTGCCCTGCAATGTCAAGCACTATACTGTACTACTGCAGAACACTGTTTTCTGAGAATTGTCTCCTCTTTTTATTCAGGGCATGGTTTTCAATGTTCATTTTCTCTCAAACAGCTGCTCATATAGGTTTTCTCTGTCCCTGCTCTAAACTGTTTGTCTGCACTCAAATACTGAGCTGCACAAATCCTGAGCTTAAAATATGACTCCTTTGAGTTTTACAATTCCAGGGCTGATGTGAATGTGAAATAAATGTGTTCTCAAAAGACCCTGCTCTTAATTAAAGATAGGAAAGAAAATCCATAGGTTAGTGGTGAGTATTTCTTATATTGTAGTTTTGATTTTAAGTAACACAATTCAGATTCAGATCATAGGTGGACAGCTCTGAGTTTGTTAGTTCATACCATTAAGTGTGTCTGCATGTGTGTCTCCAGTGACCACTTCTCAAGTGGAGACACATGTGGAGACACATTCTAATGTCAGATGTGAACTGATGTCCTTTGCACTTCTGAAATAGTAATGACATTTTTCTGACTTTGTAAGCTGTGTGGCAGCTTGTGATAAGGTTCAAACATTATAAATCTGACTTTAAATTATGATTTGATGATGGTTTTGCTGATCACTGTAGAATTTATGTGTCTCTTCAGGCCAGCCAGCAAGTGGCAGCTTCTCAGCGCTCAGGCTCCAGTGCCATGTACATGAACCTGGCCCACATGCAAGCAGCAGCGGCAGCCGGCGGAGTGGCGGGCGGCTTGGGCGGAGCTTCGGCTGTCAGCCCATCTACCATGTCCGGTTCAGCCAGCGGAGGGGTGAGCTCCATGGCCGACCAGGCCAGCAGCCAGGCAGCAGCCAAACTGGCCCTCAGGAAGCAGCTGGAGAAAACCCTGTTGGAGATCCCTCCACCCAAACCCCCTGCCCCGCTTCTCCACTTCCTACCCTCTGCCGCCAACAGCGAGTTCATCTACATGGTTGGCCTGGAAGAGGTGGTGCAGAGTGTACTTGACAGTCAGGGTGAGCAGCTGACACTCAGAGAAGCATGTCATCAACTGTAAGGTCAAACAGTGGATTTGACTTGTTAGGAACCTTTTTGTTTTCTCTTCCATTTCCTCACATTGTTAGTTTGTACGAATATGACATGTCATATTTCAGCAAACCCTTCTAAACTCAGAGAAGGGTGTAAGTGACCTGAAAAAGCATGACTTTAGTCACCTGTGCATACTTGAGTGAACATGCATGAGGATAGCAAATTAGCATGATTAACGCCCCCATAATTCCATATAAGGCTAATGTGTCTTATACGATATTATTGAGTTCAGAAATGTTTATTCATGAAAATAACATATGAGTAAAAAGAAGAACTCTCCAAGTTTTCCTTGTTTTGAATCACTAGGATGAGTACAATGACAAGACAAGTGCAAAAAGACAGAAAAACTGGATCAGACAGTCCCAGTCGCTGACCAGAGACACAAAAACTCTTTAGCTCGTTAACTAGCAAATTGAGACAATTTAATTTGATAAGTCACAGTTCTGAAACACCTTTTAAACATTGCAGGACTCCATCAGACATTGTAAATTCTACTCTGCTCCCTTCAGTGAATGTATCCTTATAGTTCTCTTCATTTCCAAACAAAAATGTGTGTTTGTGGTTGACTCAGCTGAGCTGTAAATTAGGTTATTCAGTTCTATTTGTTCTCCAAAATGATTCGTTCTTTTGAAGAAAACATTTGTGAGGGACACGGCACTAGTATGAGCACTCCTGTCTTGTCTGCACGTTGAATATCAGTTTCATTAGCCAGGAAATGTAAGCATGACCTTAACCACCTGGATAAAATTGGGAATTTTTGGTCAATGATCTGAAGGACAGAGGATGTTGCAGCTCGTTTGTCTCATGAGACAAATTGTGATTTTTTAAATTTGGGCTATACAAATAAAATTTGATTGATAATTGATTGAAAATAGCTTGCGTGGCAAAATTTACAATTGACAAGTTGAGCCAGCCGTCTGTGTGCATGCCTCATACGGGAAAATTGGTCAATGCTGCAAGTTCTCCTAAATCCGTGACCTACTCACTAACTTCTGGCCATCGTGTCTGCGTCACTGGCGTTTGTCTCTCAAGCCCATTCATTCAGACTAAAATTTCTATTTATTGATAACTATAGGGACATAAAGAGGATTTCAACAATTAAGATAAAAAAGTGTTTCAAAACTATCTGACCAACCCTTCAACAAATCTGTTCTCATCAATGGTTTCCAATTTTTTATAAATATGAAACTAAAACTTAGCACAAGTTAAAATAGTGAGGAGAATATGAGAAGATTTTCATGAGTTTGTACTAATCAGTCTTGTTGCTGTTTCCAAAAGAAAAGAGTGTTTCTGAAGAATGATCAGCTGTAGTTGATGGTGTTTGATGTCTTAACGTCATGTCTTGATGTCACTGTTGTGAAAAAGTGACCCATCATACAACATAGCCGTTTTTAGACATGACCTGCGGGTAAAGTACGGAGAATTGGGTTTGCCTTTGGTGGCCCAGCCGAGTGCGGCAGACATGGAACGATGTGACATATTAATTATTATTATTATTAGCAATTATTAATTAATTGCAGAAATCACATGATTTTCTTGACAACACACAGACACCGCTGTTGGCTCTTATCACCACAAAGTCTCATATTCGTCTGTCTCTTCTCTGTGTGTGTCACCGTCTTTAGGATAATCCGGACCCTCTCTCTCTTTTGCGTTCACACATGTACCTCCTCCGGAGAAAATACAGAGGATCTGCGGAGTTCAGTGCATGTCTGAAAGCAGCTGATGTGTGTGGGGCTTCATGTTGTCACTCTGACTGTAAGCACTGCTAATGGCTGAATCTTCTCTTTAGGTAAACTCAGAGGGACACTGGCCCGCATGGAGCCCTTCTTCTGCGCTCAGTGCAGAACTGACTTCACCCCTCACTGGAAGCAAGAGAAGAGTGGGCGAATCCTCTGTGAGCAGTGCATGACGTCCAATCAGAAGAAGGCTCTCAAGGCCGAGCACACCAACAGGCTGAAGAACGCATTCGTGAAGGCCCTGCAGCAGGAGCAGGTCAGCACCACTGTGCCTCTGCATCACGCGGGCCGTATTCTCTTTCTCATATTATACCACATCATAGTGAAGACATTATCATTTTACTAGCCAGCCCTACAGTCAAGTCTCAATCTGAGTTTTATTATTAACTGCACACAAGTGCCTTTGAGGACAGAGCATTTAGAAAATGCTTCCCTCATCACTCTACACTCAGTATCCAAAAGCAACTGAGGGATATGTATTAAAAATTAATACTGTAATGTAATGTAATACTGAAAGAACACATGTATTCAGAGCATAGACCACTGTGATGTGTGTAAACAGTTCTCTTGGACTCTCTCTTTTGGACGCTTGGATGCAGTGTGACTTGTGGGACCTTATATACGAGGATGTGTCTCTCTAAATCCAATAAATTCGGTTTGCCAGAGGTAGTGGACTCTATAAACAAGTTGTAGACAAATCGCAAAATGGGATGAGAAAGATTACATAGTTTGATTTTCTTTAATACATTTCTAGATTTTTTTTTTTCCAGACAGTTTTCACTGCCAGTGTGGGTTATTGAGTGTAGATTGAAAAATATGGCTGTTTTGGCCATTTTAAACAAAAGCTGCAGCGTACTGTGCGACAAGGGAAAAAGGTGAAAGGCATTTTTGAGCCAAGTAAGTTGCTTTCAAAACACATAAGGCCACAAAGAATAGATGAATTAATGCATGTCATGAATGCAATGATCCATTTCAAAGTCCTAAGTTTGTGTGTGTGTGTGTGTGTGTGTGTGTGCAGGAGATTGAACAGAGGCTGCAACAGCAGGCAGCCCTCTCTCCCAGCTCAGTTCCTACAGGCCCCAACGCCTCCAAGACTGACACCATGATCCGACATCATGCCCTCCGCCAGGTACACATGTTTCCTGACCAAGTATGTTTTTAACTGTATCCAAAAAATCTCTCTCTTGCATGATAATGAACTAAGTAATATGCCACTGTAATGTAATCGTGTCATTAGGTCAAGTTTATGGCGTGTCTGTCTTTCCCTCAGGCTCCCCAGCCTCAGGCCTCCATGCAGAGAGGTCTGTCCAACTCAGCGCGAGGTGTTCTATCAAACTTCGCTCAGGCCTCCCAGCTGTCGGTGGCCAGCAGCCTCATGGGAATGACTAGTGCCAAGCACTGTGGAAGCGGTGGAAGCAGCAGCAGTAGCAGCAATAGACTGCAGCATGACAGCCGTCGCCAGATCTACAACATCCCAGGTATCTACTGTGCATGTTTTTTGGCTCACCAAGGAGGTCCCAGTCAAGAATTGTTGTCCTGATCCTGATCAATCTTCTAATTAGTTTGAAATGTTATCATTCTAACATAATAAACTGAGATGGTGAATATACCTGCATATCATCACCATGTGTCAATATCCGCTGATGGTTTACACTCAGGGGAACCTCTCTGCATATTACATACATACGCTGATTTACAGCAGAATGCTCCCAGTCACTTAAAATCTTACATAGTGGATCCATATGGAATCAAAAATATTTTGCTAGCACATACATTATAATTTGAACATGAGTTATATAGAAGCAGAAGAGAAATTTTCTATAATCAAAAAATCCATTTGCATGTTTACCGTTATCCATATTAATTTGCAATAATAAACTATAAAAAGTTTTACTCATACACTCACACAAACTCTTGTCAAGCTCACATTAGCTTCCTCCCTCTTACACTCCCCCCTCTGTAAGCATTCAACTTTGCCTGCACACATCTTGGCACAGCATTACAATTTGAGCTACAGAATCAACCAATAGAAGAAACTAAATTCTGATTACCTGTTTGATATATAATTATATTGTTAGAACCTTTATCAACATCATGAGGATATTACAATTGTACAATATAATAGAAAACAAACATTACAGGGAATATTGGAGAAGCATTACAAATAAAGAGGTGAATAAACAATACACATAGACATACATTTGCAGACAAAGACATACAAATATTGAGTAATGAAAACCTTTACCACTAAAGCTGAAGTAAGCAGTTGATAGTCTTCACACTTGTCTCTTAATATGTGTGTCTTCTCCCTACAGGGTTAAATATTGCCTATCTGAACCCAGCGGCAGTTGGAGCGCATAAGAGCTCCAGCTTAGCAGACCGGCAGAGAGAGTACCTGTTGGACATGATCCCACCTCGATCCATATCGCAGTCCATCACCGGACAGAAATGAGCCCAGACCAGCCCTCCTGCCCCTCTGATGTCACACCCATCCTGCCCCTCTACCCCCATACTGAAGCACTCCCAGATCAACCAACATCCCCCAACCCCACCGCATGCAGTGCCTGTCCGTGTGCCTACCTTAAACCAACCCATGAAAACCCACCAAGTCGGACAAAGACACTAAACTGTCAGTGCATCTCCAATGTTCTTATGATAGTAAAATCTTCTTCGTCAGCGTTGTTTAACAATTATAATTCCCATTATTATCGCTGTTGGTAGCACTATTATTATTATTATACCTGCAACTACCGTTTTTGCTTCAGTTACTATTACTTATTATGCTTTTTTCTTTTCCAAGTGTTTGGTCCATTTTTTGTTTCTCTGCTGTCTCTTCTTCACTTTGGGGAGTGACGGTGAACCATTGTAGGGTCGCTTTAGGCCACAGTCACTTAGGATTTTTTTTCTCCTTTTAATTATAATGCTTAGATGTGACTATTGCTAGTAACAGAAGATCAACAGGGTGCATTCTGGTTGCTATGCAACATAAATTTTAACAACTTAAGCTTGCTAAGTTGAAGTAACAAAGTGGAAAATACTGATAGGAACAAAAACAGACAAAATTAAGTTAGTAACTGCTCTTGAAAAGAGCCTGTTCTAGAAATGAAGAATGTGAGGGGGGCTAAACAGTCCGAGCAGAGCATCTACACTTATATCACGTTAAAAGGGTCAGATTCAAAGGTTGTTTTTGCACTGACACGCAGATCAAGTCCAACCTGGCCGGATCAGAGGTGCACATATGTACAAAAGAGAATCTTATGTGAAAAGCGTTTGGAGAATATTTTCCTTTGGTATTCGGCTCCCACATTCCTCATCAAGAGATCTTCATCTGTTTCTTCACTTCAGATTCAGCCTATTGTTACAAATTTGAACAGTTACCAGATGGATGTAACCAGGATTTCCTGCAGTTGTATTTATCTGGACTGGCAGACACCTTCAGCGGACCAGCAGTCCATATAGACTCTAATGAGGAGGAAGCTGATAGGGGACGGGAGGACGTTGTCTACAAGTTAAGCCAATATTCACTTCACAGGGGGCACTGGTCTGTCAGAGAGGAGCAAGTTGATTTTCCCTCCTGGTTCCATCTCATCTCACTACCTCCCACTGACCTCCACCATGCCCTCCTCACAACCTTCGTTCATCCAGTGCACAGACTGAAGCTTTTGTACCCAGCAACTCCTCTTTGCATCACATGTTCTTTGAGAAAGTGAAACAAACTCAAATCTGAAGGTGGAATTACAATTTGTGTGTCCAAACCTCAGATTCTGTACCTAGAAACCTACAATCTGGGTTCCTTTGCTTCTTCTATTTGGGTTTTTAGATTTTCTGATTGTTGCCCCCACCCCCGAACTTTCTGTGCTTTATTTTGATTAGTTTATCTGGATTCGTTTTTTTGTTTTGTTTTTTGCGGCGTCTCTTAATGAATTGGTGGCGAACCTGAGAGGTATTAGCCCCTGGAGACGATAATAATCAACATAGCTAAAAACAGAAACTATTGAAATATCTGTATGGATTATGTATAGATACCTAGCTTCAGATAAAAAAAGGTTGAGGATTATATCTTTTATGGGAGAGACATGGATCAATCATTGTGTGCATGCTCTGCACACAAGTTCCCTCACTCCAGAGGAGCACTTTGCTTATTTCCAATTGGAAAAACTTTTTTTAAAGAAAAAAGCAAAAGAATGTCACAGTTGAGAGAGGCTGAAGTTGTGGAAGCTGGCTGATGGCCGACCAGAGTAAGGGGGCATGTCACCAAGTAGCGTTTAAATGGCTGATGAAAAGTTCAATTCTAATTTACGATGCCAGTGTTAAGCTCTAAATGTTTCAGTTTCCACTTTTGCGGTGTGCTCAGTTAGAGCCAGACTATATATAAGCTGTTGCTGGCTGGAGTACATGAGTACCTGGGTACATGTACCAGCATCAGTCCCATTGACTCACTGTCTTTAAAACCCAGCAGTAACTGAAACTTTAAAGCAATCCCACCTCTTAAGTCTGAACTAGATGACTTTGGACCCGATCCTCAACTGATGGGGATCTGCTTCGATCCAGTTTGATATTGCAACACTGACTCACAGACAGAAACCAGGTCCTGAACAAAGATACAAGACTCAGACACTTGATAGATTTCAAGTGTAAACTCATGGGAAAGCGAAGAGACATTCACATAAAAGTTAGGATGAGAAAGTGTCTCTCCTGTGGGGAGTTCAAACTTTACACGTGTGTGGGTTAGAATGGCTCAGTAAATCCGACTCCATACCTTTTCCTATGCTCAAGGTGACTACAGTGGAACCTGTTGTTTGCTCCAGGCTTTTTAGTGACCCCAGCACTCTGAGTGTTAACAGATGATATGGTTAAATGGCGCTCCTAATGCAATCCAAATGTAAAAACCACATTTGTACCTGTTTTTCAGCAGCTGTTGCATGTTCAAAGGTCTTGATCTCACAAACTAGAGTTCATCTCTTTGCTCTTGTTTTCCAGCTGTTTGACCAGATCATGGATCAACATAGAGTGCTGAGCTCACAAATAGAGCCATCATTGACAAACATATTCAGCACAGACATTCACTCAGTGACTTACCAACACACACTGCTGCAGCAACACAAACCAGTATCATCTCTACATCTAGTGGTTAAGACTGGTGTGGATTTTTCTTCTCAGATGTTGGCCACTCAAGTGATGCCTATGACATGCAGGTCTCCTTGCTGCTCACTGCTATAGAGAATCCTACAATGATATTCGTCTTGCTTTGCACATTTACTTCACTGAACTGTTTAATCTGTTCAGTTGTGTTAATATTTCATTTGGAGGAAACAATGTCCCATGAGTTTCCTTTGTCATGGACTTTGTCACTTAGTGAGCCTTGATCTCCAGACATTTCAGACCTGTGGGGTTAACACAGAAATACATCTTGATCTTTTGAGGCTTCTGCTGCACTAGCTGAACAAAAGCATATGTCCCAGTCAATTCTATGTTTGCAGGTTCTGGTAGTGGCTGTTAGTCTCCATATTGGCTAAAAAGAAACAACTCATCACTGGTTACCTCAGATGTCTGTACTACGGAGCAGTACTGGTTGTGGTTAGCAAGATTACTTAGCTTTAAGCCTTGTTTTTCAACATTACAAAGCTGGATCACTTTTTCTAACATATATCCGCATTGTAACTTATACACCTTTCTTACTCTGAAGATAAGACATCAACACGTATAGTATAAGGCAGCATCTTCTGAACAATCATTTCTCTTGATGCGATGGAGCGTGGGTCTCTTAGTGGGGCAGTGTTCAGACACGATTAAACATCGGACTTTCCCTGAATATTATTTTGATGAGAAATCCTCATTATCACAGAGGACCAGCACTTCAGCAGAAGTGTTCTCCTGTGTTCAAGGGCACTCTTCTGTCTTCTTCATTTAATTTTTTCCTCTTGGCTGAAGCAGTGTCAAAGACATTTCACTGTGCTTTTGTGCGCTGACATCATCGTACATCAGAGACTGACTGAAACACTAAAACTTGTACCAGTAAGATATGAAAGTAAGCCCACTTAC